AAAAAAAAAGTCTGTGGAGACAATTCAGTTGTAAACTGCTTATATCACACAAACATGAGAACCTGTGTTCAATACCCAGCATCCGTGTAAAACGTCATGTGTGATGGTACATACTTGAATTCCAACTCTGAGGAGGCAGAAAAAAAACAGGGGATCCCTTGGAAATCTGTGGAGGCCGAAAAATGCAGGCCCATTTCCACCTTGTCTGCTGGTCAGAGAGTTTGGAGGCTACAGACAGAACTCAGGGGGTGGTCGCCTGGCTCTTGTGAAGTTAAGATAGCTCGGTGCCATCCTGACGAGTGGTCAGGATATGCAGGTGTGCTTCTGCTCCTTCTGTTGTAACTGTGAGGTCACCTGGGGAAGGGCGTCTCACTACCTAGACAACAGAATGCCAGTGAATGGAGGTCTCAGAGTTGACTGTGGGAGGTCACCTTTTGTATCATGTTAATAAAGTCTCTTGTAGGGGCTGGAGAGATAACTCAGTGGTTAAGAGCATTGATTCTTCCAGAGGACCTGAGTTCAATTCCCAGGAACCACATGGTGGCTCACAACCATCTGTAGTGAGATCTGGCGCCCTCTTCTGGTGTGCAGGTATACGTGGAGGCAGAATGTTGCATACATAATAAATAAATAAACATTTAAAAAATAAAGTCTCTTGTTACCTCCTCCCCGTTTAAATTGAGTATAAAAGCTGTGGAAAAATAAACACGGGTGATTTCAGGGTCTGAGTAATCCCTGAAATGCCCTCCCAATACTTTCTGTGTTTTGTCTTATTATTCTTTTTTTTTATTTATGTCTTATTATTCTTATGTGTCTGCATATTCTTTAGTTATATTTATTTAATTCCCAAGCCCCTACCCTGGTAAGAAGTATTTTTGTCAAGGCAGGTCCTCGGCAGGTTCCCACAAGAGATTCTGTCTCAAAACAACAGTGTGAATGGTTCCTGAGAAACCGCGCCCACGGCTGACCCCTGACCTCCATATCCACTCACATGTATTACACACTGACATGCACTCATTCACAAACACACAAACACACACACATACTGATTGGAAGCCCCGGGCCTGGCAGTTGCCCTGGCTTGGACTCCAACTCCCAGCCTGCCAAGCGCTGACCCCTCCCCGGGGAGGGTCAGGACCACTCCCCCCAGGCTATTTAGGCTTGTGCCGGAAAGACGAACACACGGTTTGGGTTTGCATGTGTGTGCTCTCTCTGTCTTTTCCCTGCCATGCCCCCAGGATCGCCGTCTATTAAACACGGGCATTTGGTGTGTTTTAATCTGGTCTAATTGGATTTCTTTGCGCCGGCGGAGCGGCTCGTCTTAGGAAATATTCCTAACACATATATATTCACAGACACGGAAATATGAAGCCATAATTAAGAAAGATTCATTTTTAGCATCCAGTTTATTAGTTGTGCTTGAGACTGGGTCGCACACAGCCCCAGCCAGACATCACATGTAGCTGAAGGCGACACTGAACACACAGAATTATAGGCATGTACCACTATGCCCGGATTATAGTTTTTCAACAATTTTAAGATTGAGGGGGCATCTTTTTAAGTAACAACAACACCAAAAATAACCACAAAGTTATCAACTATTTATAATTACAAAGGAGTAAGAGATACCAAGAGTGTAACTGTAGGGCTGGCAAAATGGAGCCTCCAGTAAAGGAACTGGCTGTACAGCCTGCAGAACCAACGTTCTAGCCCAAAAACCACACAGAGAAGAAGAGAACAGATCCAGGCCAACAGTCCTGGCTGTCCTGGAACTCACTCTGTAGACCAGGCTGGCTCGAACTCACAGAGATCCGCCGGCCTCTGCCTCCCGAGTGCTGGGATTAAAGGTGTGCACCACCACTGCCTGGCCTACACTCACCATTTTTCTAGAGCCTAACTATTATGCAGAATTGGTTTGCCCAATTCCGTCCAACCCAGTGCTGCCCCAGCTTCCCCAAAGCTGCAAAGAAGCGCTGGCTATGAAAGCAGAACAAGTGTGCGCCCTCTGTTGGAGGGAGAAGGAAAGTCACTGTTACGGGAGAGGCACTGGCGGGGCACTGGCGGGGCACTGGCGGGGCACTGGCGAGGCACTCCACCTGCCTCAGAATGCACAGAACTGAGTCACAAATGTCTCCTCAGGAACTCGAGGGAGAAACTGTGCAGGACTTGAGAGCATACCTTCACTTCCAGACAGCTGCCCGTGCTTTGCAAGGAGCAAGTGAAGCCTATCTTGTTGGCCTTTTTGAAGGCCTGTGCTACCCATGCCAATTGTGGGCTGTAATCTCAGCACTTGAGGGGCAGGAGCACAAGGATCCGATCATCCTCAACTACCTAGGAAGTTCAAGGCCAGCCTAAGCTATATGACACCCTGTCTTTAAAACCAAATCTACTATTTGTGGCCAGCTTGGTCTACATAGTGAGTTCACAGAGAGCCAGGCATACATCGTGAGTCCCTTTGTAAAAGTAAGTAAAATCTATTTCACCCCCTTCCCCAACCATGACACTCCTCTTCTTGTCATGAACAGTAGATATTTTCCCCTGTGGTCAAAGGTACCTAATGGGTTGGGTGTAGTGGCTCACACCTTCAATCCCACCATTTGGGAAGC